CCAGAGAAACGAGCTTCTGCAGCTTACGGAGGATATCAAGAGTAACGCAAGGCTCGCGGCGTATCAGGAAAAGTTCCTCGAAGACTGCAGTCACCTAGGATACTGAATAAGCTTAAGCTCGAAGTCTTCTAATATCGTGCTTACCGGCGGTACGATGACTGGAAGATGCAGCTTCTCGAGACGGTCGACTTGGTGCGTGGGTAGACGTGCTGCGATGATGCGATTAGCAGGGAATCTCGTCCCGAACTTTAGGGTGTACAAACAGCGGTGGAGCGAGCGATGGAGCGGAGGAGCGAGCGATGACGATTCGGATACACCCTGGGCGGAATAAATTAGCAAGCAGCACAAGCAAATATCTATAGCTTTCCTGGAGATGATAATACATAAAGGAACCAGAGGTATCTTACACAGACGATGGCTTGCGCGGGCGAAGGAGAGGAGCGAGGAGGCGGTCGAGCGTTCGGGCTGTTAAGCGTTAGCAATGTTATCCAATATTTGTGACAGTCGCTGCCATACCCGACGTCGCAGGAAAAGTTGTTGTTGTCGTTGTCGTTGTCGTTGTCGTTGGCGTTGCTGCTATATTCGAGACTCATTAGCGCAAGCCATTTCGATACCTAAAGGGTGCAATATGACTCACTTGTTGCCTGAAGGCCTGGTGTTGGTCAGCCGCTTGGCGGTCTGACGTCACGCCGGACATTCGGACCTGGTGTGGATGGTGTCAGTGTCTATCTCTTCAAACAAGCAACGAAGATAGTAAATATAACCTACATGTGCTCGGAGGCCGTTGAAAAAGACAGCGCCTTGGCAGTTGAAGTCACGTTGTCGGGGGTCGGAGGCTGTGGTGAGTGCTGTCAGCGTATGTCTCTTCGCCAAAGGTCAAGGTCACCAAGGTAATGACTTACTTTGTTGCTTGGCAATTCTAAAAATGAAAGTACGCAATACTAGAAGCAGTACTCAGCGACTGTGAGAATCGAAAGTAGCAAGAGATAATTACCACAGTAAAAATACCAATGACGTAAGCCATTGATGACACATTAGGTCCCGTCTTCGCGGGAGCCGTGAGGATGTTGTTTCGGTCGATGAAACTGAAATCCTTTCTTTATTTTGTCGAACTGTGCGATGTCGAAGTGGCAGATAGCCCATTCGGTCGCAATGTCGACGTGTTTGGTAAGCAATTCGTGCATATGGAGGTGGCGTAGCTTCTTGTAAAGCATGCCACGAGACTTCGATAGTCTACGGCACTCCATGAACAGGTGCACTACCGTATGTTTTCCGAGGCCGCAAGGGCAATCATTCGTTGACGAAAGGTTGATACCGGCTAGGTAGCTATTGAGGCCAATAGCGCCAGTGCGCATCTGTAAAAGAATGGTGCTCTGCGGTCGTAGTAGATTCTTGTGGAGCTTGAGACTGTGGTCATTCCACTCAGCAAGAAAACCGTCACGAAGAGCTGGAGCATGCGTTTTGTTCTGACTGAAGTGGTTCCGTCGATACCAGTTCCAGTGCTCTTTACTCCTTTGAAAGGCTTCGCGTTCGCAAAAGTCCTTGATGACCTTAGTGCGGTGTTTCCGTATCGCCCAACGCTGCGCTCCTCGCTCTTGACCATGCCTTTGGTACATAAGATCTCGGGCACCTTGCTCACATTCAAGCTCAGCGCGCCGAAGAATCTCGTAGGGATGCTGGTCCAGTAGGCTTCGCATGGTGCCTGTCTGTCTTATCCTGCGTGCAGCTTCTGTGTCCTGGTCATGCAAGGCTATGGTGCGATGGGCGAGGGCCATCCTCTGCAGGGTGATTGCAATTCGGTCAATGTGGAGTTCCTTTAGGAGTACTTCGCGAGAAGTCCCTTCAAGTGCACCTGAAATCTGGATGAGGCATTGGTACTGAATTTTTTCGAGTTCCATGATTAGAGTTTTGTTGGAGTTCCAGGGTATTGTCGTGTCTTCGGAATTCATGAACCATGCGCCGCATGCATAAGTGATCCGGGGTCGAACGGTAGTAAGATACAAGTTGCGCATGTGATAGAGAGAGGGGCCCCATATGGAGCCAGACATTCTCCGAAGAGTGTCCATTTTGCGCTCAACTTTGCCTCTGATGTGCGCAACGTGGGCCTTCCAGTTTAATGAGGGATCCACTAGTACACCGAGAATCGAAAGGGAGTCACGGACAAGGACTTTGCCCGCGTTCTCAGCCAGTCCAGGAATGTTGGGAAGTTTGGTATATTTTGGATGCTTGGGCCTCCGAAAATGTAGAATGTGATACTTCGGCGGTCCAAAGGTCACTCCATTGGGCTGAGCCCAGGCTAGGAGTTCATCATGTAACAATTCTAAAATGATGTTGTTTCTTGCATGGGATGGCGACGTTACCAGCAGGTAGGTATCGTCAACGTAAGCGAGGGCGTTGATGGTCGCTCGGTATAGAGGCTTCGCTTCGGACAACATCTCTGATGTCTCAAAACTCTCGAAAATAGGCGAAGCAAAGAACAGGAACAGTATCGGAGACAGAGGACTGCCTTGCGGAATGCCGATATTGACCCAGTAAGGATCGGAACGGGCCCCGAAGAAATCAAGCTCGGTGCTTCTATCCGAAAGAAACGAAGCTACTAGTCGGATAAGCCAGTCGGGAATCCCTTTGGCGGCGAGGACCTCAAGAAGCTTTTCGCGATTAACACGGTCAAAGGCCCCACTGATGTCGAGACTCATTAGACTTGATTCATGCCCCCGTTTACCCCGACCCCGACCCCAAGCCGAGTATACGGGATTTAGGAGGTATTGTAGGGCCTTGGTGGTACTGCGCCCGGGTGCTCCAAATTGCACGCGCGGAAGGAGATCATGCTGAATGGCAAGGTCCGTAAGGCGATTGCCAATGAGCCTCTCGAAGGCTTTGCCAAGGTTGGAAAGAACAGCAATTGGGCGATAGCTTTTCGGTGTGGAATAGTCCTCCTTATCGGCCTTACGTATGACAAAGGTAAAAGCATGTTTGAAGCCTAACGAATGGCAAGTCTGCTCCATGCCTGCCTGGAAAAAGTGGGTGATGTACGGTGCAGTGATGTGCCGAGATAGCTTGAGCATTTCGTTCTCAACTCCATCATGGCCAGTCGCTTTCTTACTCGGTAACGAGCCTAGGATCTTCAATACTTCCTCCTTTGTGACGACCTGGGATGACAACAGTTGTCTGCGCTCGGGACTCAACGTGGGTAGCTGGGTGGTGGCTCCTTTGGTACCGTCTTCCTTCTTGCATACGGACTCCGGCCAGACCGTGTTTGCAAAACAGTCCGCCTGCTGCGCTGTGGTTTTGAACTCGGCATCACCAACCTTCAAAACCGGAAACTGAGCCGATTGCTTGGGCTCAGACCATCGTTGAGCTCTGCGAGCCCACATGAATGAAGCATAACGATGCTTCGCAGTTGTGGTAGCAACACGGCGACGAAAAGAATCCCTATTCTCAGCTTTCATAAGCCGCTCAACTGCTTCCCTATGCCTCTCCCAGTACATTCTCGATCGTTCACTGCGCGTCTCCATGTACTCATTCAGGGCCTGACGTTCTAATTTCTGATCTATGAGCAGGGCTTTTGATGGGCGCTTTATCTTTCTAAGACTGGAGGCTTCTGGTACACAGGCTTTGCGAATGGCTGTGAAGCGGTCTACTATCTCTTTGCCGTATGCTTGAAGATCCACGGTGGCTGGCATATCAAGAGATTCAAACTCTTCCTGCGTGCGTGCTAGGAACTCCTCCGTCTTGACATCTTTCCAGCGGTAGCGAATGGTTTTCACGCGAGTCGGTTCAATGTCGAGCTCGAGCCTGATTATCCGATGATCGGACTCGAAACCACGAACTCGGATAGTGTCACAACGGTAAGCGCGAGATGCAATAGCACCGCTAGTTAAAACCAGGTCTATTGTTGTGCAGTACTCACGGCGCGATGTCAGAAGTCCCCGGGAATATGTAACGGTACCCTTCTTCAGACAGGAGTGCATATTGGCGTGGCGAATAGCACTGGCTAATTTTATGCCCTTGGGACACGTTGTCTTAACATCTGGGCCGCCCCATAGCTCGTGATGGAGATTGGAGTCTCCCATGAGAATGTCAGAGGCCGAGTTCATGCAATCAGCCCTCAGCGCATCAAGATCGATACTTGTGAGATGGTTGTAGAAGTTGTGGATGTTGAAGATACCAGATGTAGTCTCGAGATGGAGTGTCGATACGAGGCCCACATTGCGAGTAGGACGCGTTACGGACCAATGGACTTTCGGTATATCATTGCGGATCATGAAGGCGACGCGATCCATCCCCATCTTCTGGATAAGAGCCATATAACGCTGTCTATCCTCGTCCTCCTTGCTCTGCGCTGCCTGCTTGTTGACATGAGTGATGGGGGCTGACTTGGCCTTTTCCTTCTCTTCCTTTGCATGCTTGCGTCTTGCCTTCCTAGTGTTCGGTTTGATTTCAAATTCGGCAAGGTGGACCTGGTCCTCGTAGCTCAGATCCTTTCGCGTGTAGCATTCAATCCTGTATCCAGGAAATTCGTGGTACTTGATGTGTGGAGGCGGATCTTGTACGCAAATGATGTCGGGGCGTCGCGGCCGACCATATTTGGCCTCGAAAGGCAGCCTGATACGGCGAGTTACAGAGTTAGCAAATAAGTCATATACTTTGGACTTTGGGTTTCTTACAATGCAATGTGGTTCCGGAGGTTGAAGTATCTCTTCCGAGAGCACTTCAAGTTGATGGTGTAAAGAACACTGATCAGATCGTCGAGGCCCACTTTGCGTAGACGGCGCTTGGGAACAATCGAATCTCGTGCGGTAGATGGTTTCTTGCGCTTCCGCGAGGATGGTGCTGTGGTAGAGGAGGATGCGGGCGGCGGAGGAGATGGCGGCGACATAGATGTAGGCCCAAGTCCAGGTCTATGTACAGCAGGATAAGCATCAGTCCAAATCGACTTGAAGTGAATTGCCGTACCTGGGCTGCAACGTCGGCGTCGTTGCGGTTTCGTTGTTGCTGCATGAGAGAGAGAGAGAGTCACTGCACTGAGGGTTTCCAAAGCGCCAGCGCCCTAGCTGAGCTATCGCTAGTTCTGAGAAAGAAATTTGAGTGCAGAGATGTTCGTGATTAAATGACTGCACTGAGACAGACGAGATGTGCTGCGTTCTGGCAAACGATGGTGGGCGGTCATTGTCATCGACGTCGTGCTGTCATAAGCCTACTTCTGAGCCGTGTGATCCTGCGCGCTTGAAAGGCGGCCATGCAACGCGACGCGACGCGACGCGACATGTGATCGCCAACGTCTCATTCCAAATCCTTTGATACAGATGACCGTCCAGGCTGGTCTGACGTTGGCGACGTGGCGACATGAGACGTTCACTCGCTCACCCCTGCCCCGGACGAGATGCGGCACGGGAAGACCAAGCGAGGCTACCAACACCACCCGCGCCAATCAATGCCCCGGCCTATGCCCCCCACAACGAAACTTGTAACGCTTGTACCGAACTTACACCGAAACTTGTAACGCTCCTTGTGAGGATGACGCCTCCTATACTCTAGACCGAGTCTACTGCTCGGCGACTTTCCCGCCCCATGTCTAGGTGACCTTTCTGGGGATGGTTTGGCCGATACCTGAGACGGGACATCTTGGGCGTAGCTGAGCATCAAACTTTCTAGACAAAAAGCAAACATGACTTTGTCAGAAATAGCAAGTCTGTCTTATCATTGATTGGCCAGGAAGAATCAGTGGGTCAAGTTGAGGCAGCTAACGTGCCGCTGCACCGTTCCGCCAGGAATTTAACACGTACTATTGGCGGGAGGAGAGTTTCCGTAATTATTGACAGCAGCATTGATGGCCTGATGAAGAAGCAAAGTGTGCGCGTATGGGACCGAGGGAGGCCTTTTGCCGAGGGATGAGGGGTTGGAGCAAGAAACGGGTCTCGGCTGGTCCCTTAGTCGACGAAAAGAGAAGTAGAGAACTTTACTCTGCACAATAGCTCTCTCCCAACCTCTATAGCCAACAATCATCTGCGGCCTGTTATTTTCTTCACTCTGATACCTCACTTCCAAGCTTCTTGCCTATATTCCATCTCCAATTCCTCACCATGGCATCACTTAAGACGCAGTCCCTCCTGAATGAGCTAGTCCAGTCTTTGCAAGGCTCTGTCGACATCGAAGTTGAATCCAACCAAGATTCAGGCACTGTGCCAGACAACGATTCCCACTCCTTCTTAATCAAGAAGCTGTTCGCAAAGTTCCAAGCCATGGAACGCACCCTTCAGCGCATTTCGACCACACTTCGACTCCAGAACCAGCGAGAAGCCCCTAAGCCTGAGCCTTTTGCACTTAGATACTCGCTTAAGCTGCCAACCGATGTTGCCCTAGTCAAGAGTCTCAAAAATGCCGGGATTGTAGAGAAGTTCAACCGAGCCGGCGCTCCATTCGACCAGATCAGAGCTTGCAAAATTGTTTCCGAGAAAAGAACCCTGGTCCTCTACATCGATAACGCAGGGGCTGAAAGGCTCATCCATGAACAACTTGTTCGCATTGGCGAGATTCTGAACTTGAGCCCTGAATGTGGCATAATCCGCGAAAAGTATCTCGTTCATGTCTATGGCTTCCAGTGGGATAGCGAGGAGTTCAAGAACCCACAGCCTTTCATTCGAGGCTGGGGTGTTCAGAACAACGTCGATATCTGCAAAGCCTACTGGACGAACAAGAAACTCATCCTAGAGTTCGACCAACGCAACCATGCTGAAAGGCTCGTCCGTCCAAACCAAAAGGTGTATCTGAGCGGCTATTATGGCTGGGCAGAGTAAGTACCGTACTCTGGTTCTAGTTTCATATTCTAACGTAGTATACAGGCCTATTGATAAGCGCTCACTTCCGAAGTTATGTTTTCGCTGCGCCGAGCCCGGGCATTTGAAGGACAACTGCAACAAGCCCCTACGTTGCCAGAATTGTAGCGGTTTTGGTCACCAGCAATGGGGATGCAAAAAGGATCCCAAATGTCCGAACTGCAAAGGATCGCACCCCGCATGGGCACCACAGTGTCAGGCTGAGCCAGTCCTGAAGATGCTCGCAGAGTGTACTTATTATCGTGAGAAGATTGTCTACTGGGCGCAGGAGATCATGCAGCAGCCCACCACCGCAGCAATACCTGTATACGATGCCCGAGACGAAGGACCCAAATTCCCCCATACGCGTGAGAAACAACCCGCCCAACAGAAGGGGAAAAAGAAGGCCTCCAAGAAAAGAAAGACAGTTGAAAAGGATAGTCAAAAGAACACCGTCCCTGTGGACCGCCAACCAGAGACCTTGTACCGATACCTCATCTCTTCCGCTGGCACTCCAGCGAGATCTTCGCAGCCTCCAACGCTGGATGGTGAAGATATCGTAATGGGTGAGGGTTCACAACCGATGATAATGGAACAACCCTTCGCCCATTCAACCAGTATGCTACCCTCACAATCGACATCTTCTCAGCCTACCGTGGCCCACGCAAGCTCTTCGCGAAGTGTGCCTTCTCACACACCTGTCAAGAACTTCACACTCAACGGTTGGGATCCTCAGCAGAACAACGGACCAAGATCTACTCGCCAACGAACATCTCGGATACCTAAGGAAAACAACGATCCGTCTCAAACTACGCTTCGGATGGGCGAGTCAAGCTTCCAAACGCTGCTGCGGGAGACGACGCCGGGTATAGATATGACATCAGCTAGTTCTAGCGACGATGAGTATGAAACCGAATCAGAGTCAGAGACGGCTTCGAACCAAAACTATGAAGGTCGATATGAAGGTGAGATTCCGATTGGTAAATAGTCACATCTTGAGTGTTCTAGGCTGTGTACACCAATTCCAAGGGTGTTTTCGATTTCATTGTTTATGGAGGAAGGTTACAGTATATTTGAATATGTGTAAGGCTCGTTTGTGTTGTAATGGCAAAACCTCTCTGCTTTTGATAGTGTTTTTCTACGTATTGTTACTTGAGACATTTGCTTGTTGTATCGAGTTTATATCATTACGTTTCCTTCTCAAATACGTGACTAAAGGGTGAAACGGAGTGCTGAGTATGTCTCGACGTTAGACCAAGCGGAGTGGCTAGAGTTGACCCCAAATTAACCCAGGAAGGAATTCCTCACAAGCCCAATTCTAAACATTGCACTTCACAAACTTCCATCATTGTTTGTCCAGGGCTGGGAATTAGTGACGGCTAAGTCGGAGGGGAACGGATCCAATGTGCGGGATGGTAAAGGGGCATTCCTGTGATTGCCGCTCCCCAACCTAGAACCGCCATGAATCCAAAACTAGGTTTGGCCCACTCCTTAGGCTTGGCCTCATTTTCCCCTGATCATCCCATGGTGGTTCGAGTTTATAATTAAGAGACTCCGAGCCGTTCCCGCGTTTCAAGGCTTACAGGGGTTCTCGGATTCGGCCACAATATCGACGCGTGATCCAAGTTTGTGGCGTGCTTAGCTCTCATCTCCACCGCTCTTAGGTGGAGCACTTCATGGATTTACGTACACAGCTGAAACTACGGACGAATTTCCTTCCGGGTCGAGAACGGCAATTCTGCAAGCGAGGTTGATCCCGCGACTGATGTTGATTCCAGCGAGGTTGATCTTGTGATTGACGTTGATTCGCCGGCGCCGCAAGATCAACCTGAGAAAGACGACAGTGCCCCGATTTGCACAGTGGAGAAAACGCGCCTGATGTTGATTCGCTGCCGACGCGAGATCAACCTGAGAGTGAAGAGACTTCCTACATTTGGATAGTCGAGAAATTTTGTGATCTTGCGACGCGGCGCGCCGCTTCAGAGGTATGAATAGGCCTTCATGTCGGAATCACTGGACATCATCATCCTCCAGTTCATCCAACTTTCTTCTACTATCTGATCTTGCCTGTTACACTTTACGTTCAGTCAAAGTCAAATCTCGTTCTTACAGGCTCATACCAACACTCCAGTGTCTTTCATCTATTTGGAAAACACGTGATTCTTCAATCATACCGCTCAAAAGCAAATCTCGAGGTGAGTCGACCGTCCAGTACCGAAGGTGGTAATATCTCTTCCCTTTGATGATAGAACTCCATCAACTAACCGTCTATTTTCATTTGAACAGCATCTCCGTAACCTTTACTGAACCCTTATCACCATTCTCTTTACCGAAATGGCTGCATCGAAGCTCAAGGAGTTGAAGAACTTGCTTGGTAATCTTAACGACGAGGAAATCGAATCGGTCTTTCGTATTATCAACAAGCCAAAGACCACCAATGCCGCCGAAACAACAGCCTTTATTGATATCGATGATATTGATGATGACATCCCCCTACCTGATATTGACTTCAATTTCCCGACCTCAGGTCGAGGGCCTGCTTCTCGGGACGTCTATTACGACGACGACAATGAGGGTGCCGAACGATCCCGCAAACGACCGCGAGCCACCCTTGACTCATACGGCACTACTCCAAGCATTTTCGATGTCGCCCATGACCCATACGTCACTACTCCCAGCTCTTCGAAGTCCACTTCTCTGAATTCATCTCGAGGAGGCCGCTCTTCGAAGTCCACTTCTCCGACTTCATCCCGAGGAGGAGGGCTCGCGGCATCAATCTGGTCCTCGAATTCCTCTATTAGCCCGTCCTCCCCAATTCCATCATCTCCACCTGAAACGTCCTCTCAAGGTGTTGTCTCTGTCCGAGGAGGGAAACCTCCGCCCCGGTACCAAGGAAGCTACGAAGCTGTTTCTGTGCCGATGAAATCCCAAAAGAAGAAGTTCAAGTCCGGTAAATATACAGGGCAAAATTTCTTGCCGGCGATAGCAGACATGTGCAGCAACGACCCAGATTATGTCTTGTTCCTTTGGCACTCCGGTGTCCTACAGAAAGGCCACGATAATTGCGATCCTGATGTCGTCGACGCGATCGGCAATCATGAAACCTTGAACCCCCAGGACATCCAATCCTATGGCCGACTTCTCCCTGCGACGGAGTTTTTCATTTGTTTCGGCGAGACGCAAACCGGAAAAACTATGGCTGAGTTGCCTGGGGACTATGCCACCTCAATGGCTGAAAATAACGTAATGAAGCGGGCACACCCTTGGTTTGTGGAGGCCTACTACTTAGCGTGTAAGGAAGGTCGTTTCGGCAATATCAAAAAAGGGAACATGCAGAAGCGATGCCCGGACAAGAAACAACGCCCCATCAAGAGCTGGTATCGGAAAAGCACGCATCCGTTCAAGAAGGATGAAGCTCATCAGAACGCGGCCAAGGAAGCAAACGGGGGCAACAAACCAGCCATCCAGGTCGGGAAGAGCGATCAGGAGACGGAAAAGAACAAGGGGGGAAATATCCCGGGAGGAGATGTGCTGCGATTACCTGGAGATGCCACCGTTTGATCGCTGTGTAGTGTTGGAGGGGGTACGGCCACCCCCGGTTAGGTACCTACTTTTCTCGCATGTCTGCTGTTAATCGTCACTTGCTTTGGTTGTTCTTCTTGAAATGTTCTTCGTATTCTTTCTTGGATTTCTTGATTTATCGCGCTGTCTGGTTGGGTTTCACTTTTGTTTATGGACGTTGGTGGGTTATACTAGTCGGGGCTAAGTAGCCTATTATCGCTAAATCCGAATCAAGACGTTTCTTAAATGACAGTCTTCTACAACATTAAATAAATCTAATCAACGCCATAGCAATGTAGTGCTCTGTAGTACATGTATCCTTCTAGTCTTAGGCAATGTACTCCAAATCCCCAAAGATATCCTCTAAGCATATTTTGAAATGGTAGCTAAAGCACCCTCCTTCTTCAAGCTCTCTATAGCCTTAGTAAGCTCAGTGACAAAACGCTCGTCGTTGCGCAGGTCGTCACCAAACAAGGACTTCACGCCCAATAGTTTCATTGGGTCAGAGCCTCCTGCGCGGGCAAGAGGCTGCAGCTCGGCAGCCATGGGGTCGAAGCTGAGCGGAAATTCATGGCCCTGCTCGTTGATGCCTTGCAGATAGCAGAACCATGCAGCGGTACAGAGTGTAAGGCGGCGAAGGGGCCCTCCAGCCTGGATCTGTTCAGCGATCGAGGGCATGATAAACTGGGGCAGCTTGCCCGAGCCACCAAGACAGATACGCGTAAGCTCATCTTTGATAGCGGGGTTGGAGAAGCGGCTGATGAGCGTCTTGCAGTACTCGTCGATATCGACGCCGGGAATCCGGGGCAGTAGGGGCTTGACCTCCTCCTGCATCATGTTGAGAATGTACTTGTGGAAGTGGGGGTTGCCGATAACTTCGTGGATGTACTGAAATCCAGCAAGGTAGCCGGCGTAGCCCATAGCCGAGTGGCTGGCGTTGAGCAGGCGAAGCTTAGTAAGCTCAAACTGTTCGACTTCCTCGACTTCCTTGACGACCTGAACACCGACCTTCTCGAAAGGCGGGCGTCCGTCGGCGAACTTGTCCTCGATAACCCATTGCATGAATGGCTCAGTCACAACGGGCCATGCATCCTCAACGCCAAATTCTTCGGCGAGGTTTTGGACATCCTCCTCGATGGTCCTTGGTGTGATGCGGTCAACCATACTGTTGGGGAAGGCGCCATGTTGAGCGAGCCATGCTGCAACCTCAGGGTCGCGGTGCTTGACGAAAGTAAGCAGCATGTTGCGAGTGATGTCGCCGTTCTTCTGCATGTTGTCGCATGACAGAACTGTGAAAGGCTTCAGGCCGGCTTTGAAACGCCGCGCCAGTGCAGCGTAGACATATCCGAAGAATGTGCGCGGTGGGCCCTTGCCGCTAAGGTCGTATACAATATCAGGATGCTCGATCTCTAGCTCATGGGTATTTTCGTTGTAGAAATAGCCGCTCTCTGTAATAGTCATGGAAACAATGTGGGTATCTGAGTGTGCCATCTTGGCAATAACAGCCTCGCTGCTGTCGGGAGCGAAGAGGTAATCCGAGATACTGCCGATGACACGTGCCTTTGTTCCGGCGGAAGAACGCTCAATGACTGTGTACAGGTGATCTTGAGGGGTAAGGGCGTTCTTCATGTCCGCATCGAAGGGCTGTAGGCCGACACCGCAGATGGACCAGTCGCGGAGACCGAGCTGCTCCAACATGCTGTCGACGTAAACCGCCAAATGAGCTCTGTGAAAGCCGCCGACACCGACATGAACAATGCCATGCTTGAGGGTGGTCCTGTCATAGGTGGGAACGGTCGCATACTGCAGTTCTGACAGATTATTGTTGTTGAGCCGCAGCGATGTTACCCCTTGGGCGCCTTGGGCTGCTGCTGCTGCTGCCTGTGCTGCATGGTGTGCTGCTTGTGAGAATTTTCGGGTGTGGAGATTCGGTAACACCGCCGTTTGAATCTGTCGCTGTGACGTTTGTGAAGCGGAATTTTCCGCTGCGGTCCTCGCAGCCTTCGTGGAATTGCCGCTTGCGACGATGGTTCGTGGGATATTCTGGACGGAACCTCTGAGGGTTGAGTTGAAGCGCTTCTGTACAAGGGCAACGGCGAACTTGGTCTGTCGCATAGAAGTCATTACGAGGGAATATACGTTGACCCCTAACGAAGGGTCAGCTCAGGTTTTATCTTTTCGAGTAGTGGGTCCAGGGTCCAGGGTCCAGTTAAATATAGATGACTAAGGCATGATGTGCTTTTCATAAAATTTATCGATGGGGACACAACAAGTGCACAGCAATAGGCCTAGACCTGCGGTCCACCCCTTTACAGCTCCTGGCTATAGGGGGCTCTGTACGCCTTGGAGCCTTGATGAAGATAAGCCTCTGAGCACGGCCACGGGTGGCAACTAGCCCTTGCAGAGTTGCAGATTCATCCTCCTTCTAGCTGATTTTGCCTTAGACTCGTGTATCTTATCGCTTATCTTCCCCTAACTATAGGGGATTTTAGCGTACTAAGAACACCGCGCGTCCAGACCACGTTACGCGTGTACGAGACGTAAGTGGATGAAAGGATGCTCCTGTCTTGTGCAAATATCTTCCAACACATATAAATACATCGTGTCAGAGGCGAGGATTGAACAGCCAACTCCACTCAGCGTCTCGATATTGAAACTGTAAATCCGCGCTTCTTTTCTCGATGCGAAAAGCGCGCCGAACTCGCTGACTCGACGAAAGGGGGTGGGAAAACATCATGAAGGCAACAAGCTTGGCGACTGGTACCTGCAATCATGAGAAAGGGGACGAATCATGACTCGGTCATCTAGTTCGGCCTTGGTCGACCTGGATATTTGGCACCGAGCAACCTCCACCCATGCGCGATCCTGAAATCGTCTGGGTATGCAGCGAGAGTAAAAAGTACATCCTTACTATTATCACCCGGTATGTAGCCTAAAGCCTGATCCTAGGTGGGGTCTAAGTCAGCATGAGGGTTTCAGGCCCACATATCTCGTGTAAAAGGTGTAAGAGAGTATTTAGGGCTTGAACTAACCTTGCCCACTGTCATCTGAATGGATCCCTCAATCCAGCGTTGTGGAGAATACTCGTGCGAGGGCGAGCGGCCTTTGATCAGCTCCAGTATATTGTCTCGCACGATACCAGCCTGCACGTGAACGGCCCGGGCCATACGGGGTCCGCCGTGTTCAGCTACGTCGCCAAGTGCAAATATATTCGGAAAGGCGGAGTCGCCTGCAGGTTGGAGTTGCAGCGTCGGTTTGACCAGGATGCGGCCGGTCTGCTTCGAGATGACCTCAGGTAGGAACGTGCTCAGGATTCCGGAATTGGGGTTCTGGCCCGTGCAGGACAGCTGTGAGGACATGCGCTCAATTTGTGTACGCTTAATGGGGGGGCAAGGATGCTAACTTACTACTAGATCATACTCTTCCGTGCTCCTGTCTTGAAGCTGTATCATCTTGCTACCGGGGAGAGTCTGCGGTCGGGCATTGTATCTTATGGTAACTCCGATCGATTCCAAGATATTGGCGACTTTGAGTTGGAGCTTCGGTCCGAAACTTGGCATGACAACGTCACGAGAGCTGAACAACGTAACAGACTTGTCTGGGAAATAAGTCTTGATATCTGCGGCCATCTCGACGCCAACAGCGCCAGATCCTAGGACAGCAATGCGAGAGGCTTCAGCAACACCTCGCTGTAGCTTGTGTAGTTCATCACAGGCGCCTTCACGCCCTGTCGATGCCATCTTTGCTGGTGGCGGCTGCGAGGAACCTGTGGCAACAATCAAGTACGCATAATCGATGGCCTGCCCGTCGGCCAACAGGACTTGGCTAGGCGTCACTCCGGACGCCTTCTCGTGAATATGCAACAGTGACCCTTTTTTGATCGCACCGCTCAGAATATTCTCATACGGGATAAACGCGCCCTGTTCATATCCCGTCACAACAGCGTATCGCGGAAAGGCGAACAGATAGTTGAAGTGGCTATTCTTCTCGACCAGAACAACTCGGTATCCCGTCGGCACAGCGTTGGCTAGCCAGTTAGCGACATGGATGCCAGCAAAAGAGCCGCCGACGACGACGATGTTTTTAGGCGAGTCTATGGCCTTATAGGTAAAGGTGTGATAGATGGTGGTGATGCGCAGTCGAAGCAGGCGTATACCGTAGGGCAATACCAAACCTAGCACCGAAGAGAAGAGATGAATACTGTTGGCTGCCGTGGTAAGCCAGCTGGGGGTGTCTTTAGCTGCTACGTTCGGCCCCCTCTTGTTTCCTTTCGTGTTGCTCATTGTCAGGTCTGCCATTGTGTTGTCGTCAGGTACGCGTAGGGGATGTGGATAATGCAAAAAAGAGTTCGCTCAAACCAGCTGGTCTGAATTAAACTCTTCGTAGTTCGGAGAGTTACTTCCAAGCAACACTTGTATCTTGAGTGGGCGACAGGCCGCGGAATATCCACGGAGTCATATCTGATGATCTGACAAATCTATCCGCATTCAGGCCCTCCTTCGCTTATGTCCTGTATCGGACATGACAGTCGGCCTGCTCGGTCTCGCGGAGATGCCGAAAATGCGAAAACACTATGCCCCCCCCCCCCACTCTACATCTAGCGAGGCTGGTAGCCGCGTCATGTTCTAGTTGTGTAAAGCCAAGAAGTGGATGCACAGTAATTGGGCACGTGATCTTGCTAGCTCGAGGGCCCAGGCTTTGGAGCGAAGAGGGCTAGCATTGCGCTTCGTATGACCAACAAAGCATCGTTTCCGATGATATGGTCAGCCAGTAGAGACGTGGAGACAGCGTAGTCAGGGCGTAGCTAAGCAGGCTTTGGTTGCGTTGTGTGGAGGTGTCAAAGTTGTTGGAGTATGAAGTAAAAGCGAGCATGTACAAGTCCGTGCGCACTCCCGAGATCCTCCTGCAAGCCTCACACAATCACCAACATACCTCCCTCAGTCATACCTCACTACTGCAGGATGCCGCGCCCCTGTCAAAAGCGGCGTGCGAGCGCAGCGGCAAACCGGAAACCCAAACCTGCAGCACCCCCACCGATACGGCACAAAGCACGCCAGAAAGCAATCCATAATGCCCGTCGCGGGCGCGGGCGCGGTCGCGGAAACATGAGCGGCGGTCGACCCTCTCGCAACCAGCACAGTGGGGAGGGCACAGAACAAGACTTCATATCGTTTGCGTCAACAGGGAACAATTTCCATATGCTTCGCCGCGCAGGAACCCAAAACGACCCAATTGCGCTGGACGGGATTGAGGATTCGGAGCTCGAGGACGGGGAGCTTATGACGGACGATGATTCTGATTCTGACAGCATGGACGATCTGGATATGTACGACGCAGAGGATATGATGATCAACGTCCAAATGGACCAGTCGTTCACGGGCAAGGGAAAGACTCGGAGGGCAGAGGTGATGTTCACTATACCACACGCCATTTCGATCTACAGGGGATTGAGGCAGACCGGATTTCAGCTGCTCATGACGAAGCAGGAGAGATACGGCGCTCAAGAAGTAGACACCACTTCGGAATTGGCCTCATACAATTCGCTTGCGCCATCACCGTCGTCTCGTCAATCAAGTATGAGCAGCGCAACAAGCGAAGCGTCTGACGCTTTGTCGGAGCCACACAATCCTGCAAGCGACTACATGTTCAATTGGGGAAAGTACTCCGGCCAGTACTTCGCAGATGTTCCAGAGCATTATCTGCGCACCATCGGCGGTCAGCTAGACATCTACGAAGTAAAACATCCTGGCTTGAGGGAAGCTTTTGAGTACTACAGGCCAGGACAAGGGCGTACTGCAACCACACTCCAGCCACGAAGCCAACCACCACCACAACCATCGCAATCACGACAAGCAGCTCCAAGACAGCAACGAAACATTCGACCGAACGCCCAGTCGCCTTCCACATCGTACACCTTCGATAAAGGAGCACACAAGGGCAAGCGACTCCACGAAGTGCCAGAAAACTACCTGCGTACGCTGGAAGGCATGAAAGATGTGATTAACAAATGGCCTGGCCTGAGAGCAGCGTTACATGACTTCAATGACAAGACAGGAAGACGGGCTAGGGTATGACGCAGGGTTCGCGACTTCCGTGAGATTGGTGGTGGTCTGTGCTCAAACTTTTCAACTACCTCTACACGAAGCTCCCCAACATCCCGACCTCACGGTGAATGACAGCAGCATACGGGCAGGCCTGGTGGTCTTCATAGAGCGATACAAACGCTACTTAATAGGTGCAAAAGGTGCTGAATTCATCCAGGCTACCCGTTCCTGTTTCCGAATCACCCTCGCTCGCCCCTGCCGGCAGCTCTTCAACACCTCGACCCGGCGCATGTAACAGCAAGAAGATGCCGACACGCTCGGGCAAGAACTTTGCGGTCACGACTGAGACGCCGAAGAGCAATGTAGGCCTCACACCCTCACCAGCCATTGCGAGCGGCCCACTCAAGCGAGCAACGAAGCGTATGCGACCGCAGGACTCGGATTCGATCAAAGCTCGCTCACATAATATCAATAAGCGACAAAAGAAGAGCAGTGCGACCAGGACTGCACCAGCATGTTTGACCTCCAAGCCAGCAAAGTCTCGCGAATGCCCCCGGCCTTCCCACACAGCATCGACCTCCCGCGAGAACCTCTGCGATGCTCAAGCAGTAGACGTGCGATACGATAAGACACAAAAGAGGACGACACAAAAAGATGCGGGTGGGCGGGCAGGTGCTAGACGTCAGGATACCGCTCAGAACGCAAATACATACAGCCTGTCTGATCCGAAGTCCAACTTGGAGAGTCAGTCCGCCCATGTTATCGATCTGACGCAGGACTCAGACTCAGACGCAATGGGCTGCACCATGACAAGGAGAGAAATTCGTGTTGGCGAGGATGATGAAGCTGAGAGTGATTCGAGGTATGCTTTGAGTCGGAGGCAGCCAGGCCAAGCTAGGAAAACCGTACGACCGGCACCTCAGGTCAATTCAGAGCTGCTCATGGAGGAGCAGGAGGAAAATTTCCAGCCCCAGATTCGTGTGACCAAGAAGGCTGGCGCGGTCAGCTCAAAGCAAAACGTCAACCAGGACGAACGACACGACTCCCTCCATGACATTGATGTCAATCACCAGAAACAGACTAAGAAGCAGAAGAAGGCAACTTCAAAGCAGAAGAAAGCCCTCGAGAAGCAAGAGGAGAAGAAACTCTTGAAGCAGAGAAAAGCCGACAAGAAGCACGAGAAGAAGGCTCATGACCTAGTGAAGGAAAAGACCCAATCTAGAGCTGTTATGTTCACTGTTGCAGAGGCTATCACAGCCCTAGAACAGGCCAAGAACGATCCTACTTCCATACCCACGATTGCTTACGACTTGCCAACCGGCGCATGCTTGACGTATCCGGTCCAGAGGTCATATCACTTGGGCGCTATGGGTAGATACGGCGCAGCGATTGTGCAGAGTAACCCACGAGACCCGAGGGCCCGGAATACGTTAGCGGCACCCACGCTACTAGACGGTAGGGTTACGAAGTCCTCTAGGCCCCGTCAACACACGTTGAATGTCGCACCACCCTGCAGGATCATGAAGGCCTAGGGGCGGGCCTGAAAACTCGGGAGGATCGAGACGTTAACCCCGAAGATGCTCATGCGATTCAATCGCGTGTTCAAGCAGTGGGAAGAGAATCACCAAGGCGACACCTTGAGTCATGGTAAACAGGAACGCAAAGCTCGCCAGGTATGCTCGAAAAGCTTAACATGGCTTTCCAAAGCCTTGAACGACTTTGGAAAGACGCTTGTAGTCCTCCAGGAGTGCTGGAGGCCATGTCCACCTAGTATTCTAAATGGGTGGTGGAACTATAAGTAGTGCACAGGTTGGAGGCATGAACGATTCCATCAACGATGCGGAGTCACTACCGCTTCAGCCAATAAAAATATGATACACCTTATGAGCAGCGCGCAACCCTACGAGACTAACTATGTTTGCTCCTTCGCCTCGCGCTTTGTCCTGCGCGACCAATCTGTCACACGTTAGCTCGCCCGAGCAGGCTATGATGTGTTCACATCTTACATCCCAAGGTCAAACAGTACGGCGGAGTGGCTGAAAATCCTGCGCGAAGGAAAGAAGAATGAGGGTACAGTAGAAAACACTGGCTTGGGGAAGCGCTCAACATTGACCGTGCTACCTGTGCATCCTCACCTGTCACACAGCTCTTAACTCACAGCATCAATCATTTCAGACGACGTATATACACCCGCGAAGTACCATCAAGTTGCCAGGGTCCGTTATGCGACGGGCTCCGTATCCTCACATGATTTCTCGATCATATACAAGATAATCACTTCAGGCAGAATCGCTCAAGCGCCAATTCCATATAACTTGGCGTTATCATGCTGAGTCCAAGGCCCAATTTATTAAAAGTACAAGTCTTACCTATACTAACTATAGGAAAGCTAGATCTGGATCTACCTAGCTTGCATCTCCACATGGTTGCCGTCTTTTGCCTTGATAGCGTATGCCAACTCCTCGTCTGCTTTTTCTGCCCTCTTTGCATCCTCCTCCCCTAGCTTGACATTGCGAGCAAAGAACACTATTACTAAAAGGATCCCAGATACGCAAATTGAGCCAATCGCCAGACGTTGCTGTGTCTCTCGGTAACATTTGTCGATGAGATTCCTTTGGGTGCTGCCAATCTTATATTTCTTCGCAACAACAATAGAGCCAAATATACGCTTACTTTCTGCCTTATTGAAGTGGTTATCCAGTCTACTCGGAAGAAGAGAATTCCACATGGCACCACTAATGGTTACTCCGAGGTTGGAGCCGAAGCCTAGGGAGGAGAGATAGACTGCGGTAGCGACGGCAATTTGGTCGTTCTCAAGGACAGCCTGCAAAGCCACCTGCAGAGAGACCTGAGCGAAACCACGGCCAACTCCGAGAAGCGACTTGGACGTGATGAAGGCGGCCTCGCTGGCAATGTGCGTACCGGAGATGTTTGTGAGATAGATAGGTAATCCAGATGCGAGGATTATCAAGACCACACCAAGTATGGTGAAAGGCTTGGTTTGCTTAACATACTTCAAAGAAAGGCCGCAGACTAGTGCTCCAATGTTGTACGCGACGCGCTGAGCGTTGTCGACGCGAATCGCGGCTCCCGGCGAGTAATGGCCAGCAACTTGCAGGAAGCTCGAAAGGAACGGTCGATAGATACTGTCGGATGTGGCAATAATAATCACAGTTACGCAGGCCACGATGACGTTGCGCTCCTTGATGGTTCGATACGGTACGATGGGGTTAGGCGCAAACTTCCCGTCCCATACCAGGAATGCGATGAATGTCAGGACGCCGATAATGAGTAGGACGATAGATGATGGCTTCTCCCATCTATGTGTGTTATTTCGCCCCGCAATGGTCATGGGGAGAAGCGTCATCGCTAAGCCGGCGATGAGGAGAAACGCGCCGATTATGTCGAGCTGAGTGACAATATGTTTTGTTTTGCCGAATACGCCTGAGGGGGCGCCGTGCATCAGAGATAGCCGCTCGCGAATCAATCCCATATGTTTGGCCCGCCGGCCCATCCAGAGCATGATGACGATGGTAGGGATCGCAGTGACAGGCAAGACAATTGCCCACATGCCGTAACCCCATCTCCAAGTCGAGTGGTCGAGCATATGCTCGCCGAGGTAGCTTCCTCCGTAGAGAGTTGGGATAGCGGTGAGAGACTCTGGCAGGGTGAATAGGATTCCTCGATTGACGAGGCTCGTAACGTCTGCGACAAAGATCTGCTGTGTGATATTCCACCATGCATCGCCCAACGAGTCAAAAATTCCTCCTGCCTAACGAGTCGTCAGTTAGCTGTTCACAAGATATTCGAGTTTAAGATGAGTCGTGACATACTAGGAATGTATCTACGTTTCGGCAGGCAGCAAACATGACGTTGCCCAGAGCCATAGAAAGGGCACCTCCCGCAAAGCCTAGTGGGCGGCCAAAATGCTAAGTAACTTGTCAGATGAGTTTTGAAGACAACTTGCGGGAGTTGCATACATCGGCGAGCTTGGCAAGGAGTGGGTAGGCCACAATTCGTACGATGCCATTGATGATAGAGCCGGTGGCTAACAGGGAGTGCCTGTCAAAGTGGCTCGTCGCATACGGCTCATAGACATTCTGTGTGTACACCGTCATGTTCATGAAGAAGTTCATGACAAGCAGACTAGGCCATGGTTAATCTTGATATCGAAAGAGATGCTGCGAAGCAACATACCAGCCAATGGCACAGCCTAGAGCTCGAGGCGTCCATAATTTCCGTAGAGCTTCTGACGCTATCCCTGGTCTCTCTTCTACGACAGAGGTAGAGGATTCATCCTTGGTTTGCTGTTCGGCCGCCATTTTGGAGTGGGACAGGCACGACCAGTTGGGCGTTGATCAAGGAGTATTCAAAAGATAAAGTCTTAGAGCCTTTGCCCTACGAGGCGCGCCGTTTCTTATGGGGAAGCCGCTGTCGCAACCCACGCGGCGGGAATCCCCAATCCAGTTGGCTCCCCTGCGCGGAGATTGGATTATCATTGCTTCATACAGTATGAACGAGTTGGAGAGGTTTGTCAGTAGCTGGTCGTGACTACAAGAGCTACGCCGTATCCAGGCTACGCATGCAGTTTTTTTCCATGGTTCGCTGCACGTCCAAGAGTCTTGAGCCGCCCTACCGAACCGTAACAAGTTAGCAAAATTGTGACACCTTGGGCTCCGGCGGAATATCCCTGCAATCTTCTCGTATGAAATCTTATCTGATCCCCCGTTTACGAATATTGGTGGATCCGTCGGCTATGCGAGCCTTGGCTGTTTCTTGGCATCGCCTTAAGGTTAGTAATATGCGTTACAAGCCATGGCTACTGCGTTGCATTGGGTGCGAAACTCCGTCCCGGGTCGGCTATAAGGCGCAATGATTCGCTTCTGCTTTGCAGGAAAATTCTGATTGATTACCGTCATCCGGGAACCGGCCACGAGGGAAACGGCAATCTGATCCCTACTACCTTCACGCCGCAAATCGCCCGATATCTTAACATGGTAGTCCAACCGGGGGTAGTAGAATGAATGGCAGCGCGAAAGTTGTCTAAATACATTTTGTATGGAGTAATGCGATGCGTGGTGTGAGCGAAGCAACTCCCATCGGAGTAGTCAAATTGGTAGGCTCTTGTAGGTAGGTTAGAAGGTAAGAGAAAGTATGTACATGATAGCAAGCGAAGGAAGTATGCACATGAAGAGAAGTCATCACCCGCCAGTCACTACCCTGCTCACGTTTCATTCGATACTCAGTTTGCAGCAGTCCACAGCGCCGGTCCCGGGAATGTATATGTCGTCGGATTCGTATAGACATTGAATATAATGCCCGGCTCATTCCTCTTATACAAGCTCGTGCCAGCAACGCCACTGGTAGGCGCAACAGAGCCACTACCACCAACTTTCAGGTTCAGACACTGAGGATATAACTGAGCGCCATTGTCGTTTTGACCACCATGCAGAGCAATGATTTCGTGGCGGATGACGTAGTTTCCTGGCGCAAGCTTGCCTGGGAGGACAGTGGACACCTTGAAATTGTTTTTAATAAGAGAGTCTGTGACCCAGGTTCCTGGTGTTACGATCGCCGATTGGGAGATCTTTGACCACTTGAGAGAGGTGGAGGTAAGAGTAGTGCAGTCACCTAAGCGTTGATTAGTCTAAATCAGACACACTTCTGTGAGGCGAAGACGTACCGTTGCAAGGGGCGATATAGTTGATGATAGGCCCCTTATGACTTTCAGGCCATGTGCTCCACTCAAACTCGATTGTATCCCCAGCGTTCACGTTGGTATAAAGACGTCCAGCGGTCGCGCTCTTGTGACAGTTAACATCCGCTGAACCAACGGAAGCGGGCTCGACAAATCCGAGGTCCTGGTTCAAAGAATCCCAACCTGCGGTTTGGGGCCTACTATTCGCAGGGTGGTAGAACCAGACAGGATCACTACCGTTGGTGAACGTTCCCTTGATGTTGACGCCTTTGACGAAACCGTGGGCGGATGCGGTATCAAGCAGGACGGCGACCGCGCCAAGAAGGAGAGCAGATGTGTACATACTGATGTTGTGGCGATGCTGAGGGACTGAGTTCGAGCTGGTATTTTCACTATCGCTGTGATGTTGAGCAAAGAACGATCATGCCCTACTTTATACTTGTCTCCGATGTTGCTGAAGCACTACTACCTTGTCATGTATACCACAATGCGACACGGAGTGCATCTCCCGCATTGACTCAGGTAAACCACAAGGATATCAAAGTACTACAAGCTTAGTTTTTCGGATTCTCGTTAGCAATAGGTAGGTTCATGAAGGGTTAGGATCACTCGTTGCTCCTGTGTCTGACGCATACGTGTCGCATAGCGAGCGTGGTGTACTGCGGTTCGAATCACGACTGGAGTCGAAGAGAAACATATTGCAGCGATATTATGTTTGCCTCGAAGATATGTCTGTGAATTGCGCTAGTGTGCTTGGCCAGCTCGTGGCCGGGTGCTAGTCCTGGGTGTGAGCCTGGTTTTCCCGTCGGGCAATACCGAGGTGGGACAGCCGATGAACCGCGGCAGCCGATGAACCACTTTTTACTAGTAAAAAAGCTAAAAATTAAGATTTTATTTATTTAATAAC